ATATATTGCATAGAAGAAGATCACAGTAGACTTCATTATATCATTTCATCAGGATACTAGGAACGATAGTTCTGAGTAAATTGGTTCTATACCTAGTAGCGAAGATGAACCTTTATTCTCTCGAGATTAGTTGAGACTTGTTCAGACTGGAGAATTCGGTCCTGTTCCTCCTTTTCTCGAAAGGATCATCAACCAAATTTTCTTTTCTTTCTTTCTGCTTACGGACTTAAGGTTATAACCACCGAAGACATACCTTCTGCTGTGCTGGTGCCTGGTAGGAGACCCTCCCAATCATTGCCCATATTTTCGAATTTAGAATCAAAAAAAAAAAAATCTTTCTGGTCTTAAAGACCATATCGTTATATAACTTATATCGTTTTTCCTTAATCATAATTTTTTACAATGGCGGTAAGGCGAAGTATTGACAATATAAATGTTAATCTCGGCGAGGTAGTCGTACACTGCACTATATGCAATGATACTAGCCAGGACACCGACATTGTAGAAACCCATTGTAAACACAAATACCACAGGTCGTGTTTATCGGATTGGTTGACATCCAATGAGACATGCCCGATTTGTAGGCAGCTGTGTTCGTTACCGTTGCGTTCACAATCTCAATCGAATTTACAGAGTGGGGAAAATGCCGCGGAAAGGGTTAACCGATCGATTAATGCCGCGCTCAGAGCGTACGTTCGTACTGACCATCGTGAATGGGATGTGTTCCTTAGTAGCATAAACTGTTCGTTGAGAAAATCAATACACCAATCAGTTGGCATGGCACCATATTTCGTGGTCTTTGGTCAGCACATGGTTTCACATGGCCAAGATTACAAAATGTTGCGAGAAGTCGAATTACTCAACGAGGGCGAGGGAAAATTGTCAAGAGCTGACGAATTTCAGAAGATTCGCTCAAACATCGAGAAACACCTGACAAAAGCTTACAAGAGAAATCAACGCACTTACGACCTGAGATCCAAGCCTCGTTCGTTTGAGGTAGGTCAAGAAGTAATAAAGAGAAATTTTTCTTTGAGTGGCGCGGCCAATAACGTTAACGCTAAACTAGCTCCAGTTGGAGTGAAGGCTCGCGTAAAGCAGAAATGTGGCCAACTGATTTATCTACTGGAAGACTTGAACGGTAAAGAGCTGGGGAAATTTCACATTAAGGATATTTGGTAGCTAGAGACAAA